ACTTTGTGTTTCTCCATTATCATAGTGAAACTTTGTGTTCCTCCATTGTTACTTTGTGCCTGTTTGGTGCAGCTTAAAAGCTGCTTATTTCAGCTTTCAACTTAATTTAAGCTATTTTGATGTATTTGGTTTAGCTTAACGATGCAGCTTATAGCTTTTTGTAAGTCAGAAATCAGCTTATTCTTTGAGTGGGGCAGGAGATGCTTAATTTATAAGTCAGAAATCAGCTTATGTTCATAGTTATAAGCTATAACCTGTTAAGGCATAAGCTATAAGCACTTTCCCACAGCTCTACCAAACAGGGCCTTTGTGTTTGAAGTTCAGTATTCGTCCATTGTTGCTCCGTGTTCAAAACTATATGTTTCTCCATTGTTTTAAGTCAAAACTCTATTTATGTCCAGTCAATTTTGTTACAAACATATTCTGCGACGTGAGTTTGATTTGATTTGGATTGGTGAAATGATGAAATTACATAGATTGTTAATAATAGTGATAATGATAAAGATGAAGATGATGATGAGGATGTAGGTGATATTTTTTTATTTTTAGAGTGATTAAGTTTTTTTTGAATTTCTAATTTTATTGCTACTATTGTTTCTATTTTTTTTTGTCAATCATTGTGAATGTTTACATTTCACATTGTTTGAAAGTCTATTGGTTATTTGTTACTATACTTATTGTTTGAACAATCATTTTTGGTCACTATTAAACAATTGAAATATTCTTTTTTTTTTTTTCCTTTCAATTTGGTTTTATGTTGCAGTGTGAATATTCACATTGGTATGAATTTAGTTTTTCTAAAGTTAGTTGTATATTAATTATAAATTGTGAACATTCACATTGTAATTTAATATAAGTTTTATTTTTTAGAAAGTTAATGGTATGTTTGTTGTTTTGTTACTATGCTTGTTAGTTGAACAATTATTTTTGTTATCATAGAACAATTGAAATGGTCAATTTTTACTTTTTTCAATATTGTTTTATATTTTCATATGGCAGTGTAAATGTTTACATTAGTATGAGATTTTTTTTTTAAAACTAATTTTATATTAATTGTAAATTGTAAACATTCATATTGTATTTTAGTATAATTTTATTTTTTTGAAAGTTAATTGTATGTTTGTTGTTTTTATTACTATGCTTGTTAGTTGAACAATCATTTTTATTACTATTGAACAATTGAAATAGTCTATTTTCACTTTTTTTCAATTTTGTTTTATATTTTCACGTTGCAATGTAAATGTTTACATTGGTATGAATTATTTTTTATGTTTATTATAAATTGTGAACATTCACTTGGTATTTTGATATAAATTTTATTTTTTTGATGGTTAGTTGTATGTTTATTGTTTATTATGAACATTTACATTGTACTTTAACATGAGTTTTGTTTTTTCAAAAGTTAGTTGAATATTTGTTGTTTACTATAAACATTCACATTATATTTTGATTTTTATTTAGATTTTTTGTTGGGTTATTTTTAAAATTTTCAAATTATAAAAAAGTTTAAAATTCATAATTTGAAATTTTCTATATGGAATGCAGGAGAAATTTTCTCTATGAAATAAGAGAAATATTTTCTCTTTAGAATGAGGGAGAGATTTTATCTATAAATGATGGACTACTATTATGCATTAGTTTCAAAATAGAAACATGTGCAAAAAAATTAAAAATGATGATTTGGTCATATTATATTAAACAAGACTTAATGAAATACTAAAAAAAAATATGATTTAAATGGAATAAAATACTTAAAAACAGGATTTATTAAAAAATCACCCTATACTGACATTCGATCGGTTTCAATTTTTTGATTTTGATTGGGCCATATTCGTTTTTGACCGCCAAACCTGCAGTAATATCTGTAGTCAACCCAAACAACATTTGAAACTGTTCATTTGGTACTCGGTCGAGTCGGCCTAGGCGAGTTTTCTGAGTTAAATAGGTTTGTGCACACCTCTTTGCACCCATATGGAACATGCCTTTTCACATGTACTTTTATAGCTTCAAATCACAACTTTCCACCATCTATTAAAAAAAAAGGTTGGGTGGTGGAAGGTACTGTTAGGTTCGTGGGAGTTCACTATGGGTTCCGTTTCGATAATTCGAATAGTTTAATGTGTAAAATTTGTCGAGTATTTTATGTTTGTAAAAAGTCACGTTGATCGGATATCTGATCAACGTGATTTTTTACAAACATATAATACTCGACAAGTTCTCCACATTGAACAGTTCAGATTATCGAAATGAGACCCGTAGTGAATCCCTACAAATCTAACAATACTCTTCAATCTGATCACAAACCAGAGATAAGCAAGCCAAAAAAAAAAAAAATTCCCAACTTTCAAAATCAAATCCACTGTACACCCGTTGGATGTGGGTCCAATTCCATGTCTTTATTTATTTATCTATTTTTGGGTAAGTAAGTTATAAAATAAAAACAAAAACAAAAAACTAACACAAGAATACAAGGGGCATGCCCCAGGCCCTACCCAGAACTATACAAAGGAAAAAAAGAAAAAAAAACAGACAGCAACCATGCATATCCAAGCAAGAAAAGGAAACAGACCTGTAAATAAAAAATCAAAAACAAATGTTTTATTTTTTTGATGGTTAGTTGTATGTTTATTGTTTATTATGAACATTTACATTGTACTTTAACATGAGTTTTGTTTTTTCAAAAGTTAGTTGAATATTTGTTGTTTACTATAAACATTCACATTATATTTTGATTTTTATTTAGATTTTTTGTTGGGTTATTTTTAAAATTTTCAAATTATAAAAAAGTTTAAAATTCATAATTTGAAATTTTCTATATGGAATGCAGGAGAAATTTTCTCTATGAAATAAGAGAAATATTTTCTCTTTAGAATGAGGGAGAGATTTTATCTATAAATGATGGACTACTATTATGCATTAGTTTCAAAATAGAAACATGTGCAAAAAAATTAAAAATGATGATTTGGTCATGTTATATTAAACAAGACTTAATGAAATACTAAAAAAAAATATGATTTAAATGGAATAAAATACTTAAAAACAGGATTTATTAAAAAATCACCCTATACTGACATTCGATCGGTTTGAATTTTTTGATTTTGATTGGGCCATATTCGTTTTTGACCGCCAAACCTGCAGTAATATCTGTAGTCAACCCAAACAACATTTGAAACTGTTCATTTGGTACTCGGTCGAGTCGGCCTAGGCGAGTTTGCTGAGTTAAATAGGTTTGTGCACACCTCTTTGCACCCATATCGAACATGCCTTTTCACATGTACTTTTATAGCTTCAAATCACAACTTTCCACCATCTATTAAAAAAAAAGGTTGGGTTTCCCTCCTGTCTGTAATCAGATTGGAAGGTACTGTTAGGTTCGTGGGAGTTCACTATGGGTTCCGTTTCGATAATTCGAATAGTTTAATGTGTAAAATTTGTCGAGTATTTTATGTTTGTAAAAAGTCACGTTGATCGGATATCTGATCAACGTGATTTTTTACAAGCATATAATACTCGACAAGTTCTCCACATTGAACAGTTCAGATTATCGAAATGAGACCCGTAGTGAATCCCTACAAATCTAACAATACTCTTCAATCTGATCACAAACCAGAGATAAGCAAGCCAAAAAAAAAAAAAATTCCCAACTTTCAAAATCAAATCCACTGTACACCCGTTGGATGTGGGTCCAATTCCATGTCTTTATTTATTTATCTATTTTTGGGTAAGTAAGTTATAAAATAAAAACAAAAACAAAAAACTAACACAAGAATACAAGGGGCATGCCCCAGGCCCTACCCAGAACTATACAAAGGAAAAAAAGAAAAAAAAACAGACAGCAACCATGCATATCCAAACAAGAAAAGGAAACAGACCTGTAAATAAAAAATCAAAAACAAATGTCCAACATGAACCGAACAACAAACAACAGCCCAACAACTAAACAGGCAGAGAGACTAATAATCAACGAGAAAATGTTCATGGGCCCCATTGAAAATGTGGACCATGAACATGCATCACAGCAAAACTGGCAAAACAAGACATAATCTTTGCACACCCCGCAAAGGTAGGTATAAAAACAAGAAGGATTACACAATTTTATAAACAAAATACACATAAATAAAAATTCTATTATAAACAAGTGCTATTATGAAATTCTAAACATTGACTATTATATATGCCACGATAATAACAAGTGTCCAGCACCCAAAAAAAAAAAACAGATAATAACGAGTGTTATTTTAAATTTTAAACTCGGAATAAGTTATTTAAATAATTTTTTAATTTTTTTGATTAAAATATAATGTAAAAAAATATTATATTTATAATGATATTTTAATTTTTTACAAAAAATATTTAACAAATAAAAAAAATGAAATCTTTAATTTTTTTTGTATAATTTTGTGATTTTTTTTAGTAATTTTTTAACTTTTAAACTAAAATATACACTTCACAAACAAGGCTTATTATAACAATAAGTTCAAAACCAGACTTATCCATCCAAATTTTTGGAATGGGTAGTTGTATTATGGATAATATGAGCGCATAAATAGAATAAATTTGCATTATAAAATAATAATTTTGAATAATTTCTGAATAGTTAAAATGGTTGGTTGGTAGTGTTACGGTGTTATAATAGAGCAAGGATCCGCTAGAGTATTTTTTTCCTAAAATTTTTTAGAGTGGTGCATTGTGTGGTTGAGATTTAATGACAAGTCACATCAATTTTTCAACATTAAATTTCAACCACACAATACACCACTTTAAAAAACTTTAGGAAAAAAACACTCTAGAGGATCCTTGGTGGTTAAAATATGTCACAATAATGATTTTTTTTAAAATTTTTTTTATCAAAATTAATTTATTTGAATGGTATTTTTCATACTATAAATATAATCAATAAACCAGTAAAGTTTGTACACAACACAACACAAGACACCACACCACCCAGGCCAGGCCCCAATTAATTCCTCCCTTATCCTTGCTTACTTCTTTGATCTCTCATGGCACCAACCCCCAATCCAGTGAAGGTGGTTGAGGTTTGCAGAGTGACTCCAACACCTCCGACTAGTACTAGCTCGTGCTCGGCCGCCCCAACTGGGTGAAGTTCTCTCCTGTTAAGCACCTATTTTCTTCTACGAATCCCACCAATATTCAACCACTACATTCTTAGGAAATATCCTTCCTAAACTCAAACATTCCCTCTCTGTCACCCTCCACCACTACCTTCCACTCGCCAGAAATCTGACATGGTTCACAGATTCTGATGATAAACCAATTATCCGATACGTTGAAGGTGATGATGATGCAGTTTCACTTACCATAGCCGAGTCTGAAGCTGATTTTTATTGTCTTTCCTCCAGCAATATACGCAGCTTTCGCCAAGTCAAAGAAATTGAACCATTTTTACCCAACTTACCAGCATCTGACAATCGAGTACCCGTGATGGCATTGCAAATCACTTTGTTTCCAAACAAAGGGTGCAGTACTTGACGGGAAAACTTCAGCTTTGTTTATGCATTCTTGGGCTTCCATTTGCTGAGGTGGAGGAGGAGATCTAAGCCCGAATTAACTCCATTCTATGACAGGACCATTATCAACGACCCAGATGAGCTTGAGAAAAAGTACCTAACCTTGGTGTCGCAACATAGTGGATCCAACAACAACAACAACAACAACAACAGAAGAAGCCTCATGATATTGAATGTGAATGCTTCACCTGGTACAATTCTTGGCACTTTCCAATTGGCACGACCAAGTATAGAGAATATGCAGAAGAGGGTGAACGCCCAATGGCAAGAGAAACAATCCAATATTTTTCATGTATCGGCCTTTACAATAACATGTGCCTACGTATGGGTTTGCCTAGTTAAAGCTCGGAAAATCAGCAGGACAGGGAAAGTTCATCTTGGATTCATTGTCGATTGCAGGGCTCGCTTGGACCCCCCTATTCTTTCAACTTATTTTGGGAATTGTGTTTCGACTCATCTGGTAAATGCAGATTAGGTATCATGAAAAATCTTTCATTAAAATAATCATGAAAGTTTTGTGACCCTTAGGTCATGTTTGATTCACAACACTAATAGTGAGGTATTAATAATCCTATCAAATTTAGTGTGGTATTAACTATCCCACCCCTACCCCATTACTAATAATCTTACAAATTTGTTGGATTAATTATCCATTAGATTAATAATCCTAAACCAAAATGTCAAAACAAACATAGGATAATTGGGCCCACGGATTAATAATCCCAATCCCATGCTTTAATCATTCCAATCAAACATGCCCTTAGATTACACTTAGAATAAAACACCACACACTAATCAAAGTAATCCAAAAATCATAAATTTTTCATGATCATTTTTATGAAAAAATTTTCATGATGCCTAACTTTTCCCAAAGATTTAATAGCAGAAGATGGAGTGGCTGTGGCAGCTAAAGCAATTGGTGAAGTTATAGGAGGTTTGAGTGACAGACTTGTAAAGGGGGTCGATGACTTGTCAGAATTTGCTTTGCTAGATATGGATAGGGTATTTGCCATCGCAGGTTCACCTCGCTTTGAGCTGTATAAGATTGGGGGAAACCAAGGAAGGTGGACATGACATCAATTGCCAGAAATGGAGCTTTTTCTCTTTCAGATTCTACAGATGGCAATGGAGGGCTTGAGATTGGGTTGATGTTGAACAAACAGGAAATTGAAGCTTTTCCTTCTTTGTTTGCTACTGGTCTCGAAGCCCATTAACGAGAAATTTTACTTTCTTATTTTTTGTGTTTTTTTGTTTTTATTGAATTTTTTTAATATTTTAAGTAATTTTTTTTTACTTCTTAGACATACCTAACATAAATATACCTAAAAAGTAAAAAATTTGTGAAAGAAACCTTTTAAAAATTCACTAAATACTAAAAATACAAAAAAATACGAGAATTCAGTATATTTTTTATATTTTTATGTATTTATTAATTTTTTAAAATATTTTTTCACAAATTTTTTACTTTTTAGGTATATATATGTTAGGTATGTCTAAAAAGTAAAAAAAATTACTTAAAATTTTAAAAATATTCATTAAAAACAAAAAAAAAACATGAAAACAAAAAAAACATGAAAACTAAAAAACTCAGTTTTAAAAAAATTTAATCCAAAAAACTCAAACCAAACACACTGATTTCATGAGTTGCAAGTTCTAGCACGCTTCCCTCGCCATGGATGGAACTTGGAAGAGCAGCTATTCAAAATCGCTCTGGAGAACCATTTCGAGATCTTCCTTGGCAAGCAAATCTTTTGGCTCGAGCCAAGTCTATTTTTTGTTTCCTGTAATTTCCTTCCCCCTCCCCCCGAAAACCAAAAAACTCAGTTTTCAAAAAACTTAATCCAAAAAACTCAAACCAAACACACTGATTTCATGAGTTGCAAGTTCTAGCACGCTTTCCTCGCCATGGATGGAACTTGGAAGAGCAGCTATTCAAAATGGCTCTGGAGAACCATTTCAAGATCTTCCTTAGCAAGCAAATCTTTTGGCTCGAGCCAAGTCTGTTTTGTGTTTCCTGTAATTTCCTCCCCCCCATCCCATATTTGGTGTTGTAATTTGATGGGACTTAAAAAATTGGTTTGGTTTGGTTTGGTTTGATTTGATATTTGATATTTGGTGTTTTAATTTTAATTTTATTTTTTTGAGAAATATCAAATTAGTGAGACAATGGAGAAATTATTACACTAGAGATGAAATTTTTTATAGGACAACTCTGATACATTGTAAGGACTTGCACCATACACAGAGGATTTGTATTATGCATACAGTAAAATTGCACTATCATAAAAATATAAATAATTTTTTATTGTCCTACTAATTTGATATTTTTCCTTTTTTTTTTAATTTGTCCCATTTATGTACAATTTTTCCCCCCACACACACAAAATAAAAATAAAAATAATTAAAAATAAATCTCTAGTGGATTCAAAAAGGAATTATTAAAATACAACAAAAACATACTTTAGTGGCACTACACTAGTGGCATATTTATTTTCATATACACTTATATCAAGGCACATTAAACCCAAGCCATGTGGCTCTTACAATCCAAAGACATTGAGACATGAACACAACATTTCAATGTATCTAATATAAATTCTAAATTAATTTCAACACAATCTTCTCATAATCACAGTTTTCTTTTGTTCTTGATTGAAGATGATCAGATCAGAGGTAAAAGCAGTTGAATTTATATTTGTGTTTTAATTTGTGAAAGAATAATACAATTAAAGCCATAGTTCCAATGGGTCGGGTAAGTCTTCTCCTCATAATGTCAATGTTATCTCTATGCCTTAGAGTGGTTTATTTAAATCTGAAAAAAACAAAAAAGAAAGTAGTTAAAAGTCTCAAGAAATACTCAGTGGGTTATGAGAACGATCGACTTCAAATCCCATTAGAAATCTCTAGAATTGGGTTTAAGCCATGGGAACATGTTCTTGTGGGTTATTTTATTGATAGAAAATTGTCTTTCTTCCAAGTGAAAACTTGGGCTTACAAGTTGTGGAAGGAAAATCTTAAAGATGTTGTTACCTTAGATAATGGCTACTTTGTATTCGAGATGAAAAATGAAGAAGCTTTGAAGTCCATTCTTGATGAGGGTCCTTATTGTATTGGGAGCAAATTGATTATTATTATAGAAATGGCACCCCGGTATGACCCTTACTAAAAATGTCTTCTCAAGTGTGCCGATATGGATATAATTTTTCAATGTACCGCTTGAACTTTGGACTGAGAATGGATTGAGTTACATAGCAAGTTTTATCGGTAATCCATTGTACCTTGATGAATTTACTCAAAACCATAGCCGGTTAACATTTGCTAGAATTTGTATTGAGATAGAAGCTACTAAAGAGATTCCACCCTCCTTTGTTGTAAACTTAGTATATGGAGAACCGTTTGAAATCAAAGTAGAAGTTTCTTGGAAACCCCAAGTGTGTGGAGCATGCAAAATATTTGGTCATGCTACAAGTTTGTATCCAAGTAAACCGACAACTCAAGCTTCTAGTAAACTCAAACAAGAGTGGAAGGCCAAAGAAGTAGTCGAGACGAAGGAGGAAGGCAAGCCAAGTGAATGGGTTGAAGTGAAAAAGAAAAAATGCAAGGACGTCATTAATGCTCCTATGGGTAACTTTGTCCCTACACCTCCTCCATCTTCATTGAATGCATTTGATATTTTCAATACTTGTGTAGCCAATATGGAGGTTTCTTTTTGTGTGGATCTTAATAGCGTGCTTAATGCGAATTGCTCCTCTTTGGAAGTGAGTAACCCCTCAAAAGATATTCCGAATGGAGATGCTTCAAAGGAAGAGAAAGAAATTGTTAGGGATGTGGACAATATAAATGTGTTAGTCCCTAGACGATCTTCACGTTCCAAAGGAGTTCCACAATCCCTTTCGGATGGCACTTTCGTTGTTCCATGGACAAACCCATCTTCAAATTTAAAGTGGAAATCAAGAAAAAGCTCCTTGAAAGATTTGCTATCTTAAACTTGCTCAAGAGGTTAGTCTCTCTATCAAGTCTAAGAAATCAAGTCGTAAAACTCCTAGTTGATTATTGCTTGGCCTAGCTTTGGAGTTTGTTATTGTTAGATTTTAGTGTAGAAGCTACGCTTGTGTCTCCCTCCTCAACGGGTGTTTTGCCTCTGGATGTATAATGAATCTTACTGTAATATCTATTTTTTAATATAAAACTTATGACTTACTTACCAAAAAAAAAAAAATGATTAAAAAAGTTTAAAACTAAAGCTAAGGTTTCGAGATGTATACATAATCTTCAAATTGCAGTGAACTGATTATCTACCATAGTTGTCATGATCATAGAGATGCATAAGAACTTAAAGTACTAATACGAGAAAGTAGTAGTTCTATATACACTTTCATGGTGTCTATCCTTTTCTCTACATGTGAAGGAAAGAAGAAAGTTCTATGGCTTCATTGAGGTCTCTCTCTCTCTCTCTCTATATATATATATATATATGTGACTGTTTGTATGTATAAGAGTGCTTAATGGCAACATGTTATACATTAACATAATCCTTCTACAAATTCAAATGAGTTCTTCTGTACTTGTTCCAAATTAGCCTTTATATTAATAGATGAACAAAATTTGGTAACTAAATCAAGTGAAAAAATAATTAGTTGGGAGTAGTTTAGTTGGTCAAAACTCTTGTTCTCACTAGAAGATTAGGAGTCCAAGTCTTCTCATAAACAAAACTTCTCCATCTTAGACTACGAGAAATTATTGCATGGTCGTGATTGTATGCTTGATCAATGATGTTTTACTTCTAAACTAACAATCTTTGATGTAAATAAATAAATAAAAAAATCCTAAGTGCAAAAATTAAATCATAAAGAACATATAATAATACAATAAAAAAAATAGCAATGCGGATAGTAATAGAGTAATACATGAATCAATGTCTAGAACTAGGATTTGGAGGTGAGTGCAAGGCAGTTTTATCACTTAAAACTATATATATATACAACAAAATTAATAAGCAGCAATTCATTTAGCTCTCTATTGCTTCTTTTTTTCAGCCTTTTAAAGAAGCTGGCTAACATTTGATTGCTAGGTAGGAAGCATAACTAACAAAGCACTGGTTGTTTCTCATTGCAATTTAATGTCATGTTTTATTTATTTATTATGTTTTTTATACAGCCAAAACAGCAAAAAAATAAATAAAGTAAATGCTAAATATAATAACTATATATTCTATCTATCATACATATCATATTTGTTAAAAACTCTCTATATTTGTCAAGTGAACATAAGCAAATTGGGAGAATGTTCTCTTATTCAATTAAATAGCTCAACTAGATATATATAGCTTTACAAGAATAATAGAAAAGAGAAATAAATTGCAGCCCACCTATTAACATGGTAAGTGACTAGGAAACAAATAACTTGTCCCTAAAGAATAGGAATTCTTCAAACCACTAAGCAACTAATCAAAAACAGATCCTAAAGACTAGATCAACACTAACAATTTCAACATCCTCCCTTAAACTGAATACCAATTTCATTCAGTTTATACTTGGATCTGTGCAGACCCCCAACAGACCTCTCAGCTTCATGAACACATCAAGCTTTAATGGCTTGGTCATTATGTCTGCAATCTGTTCTTGAGTGTGATAATGGACCAACTTTACAGCTCCATCTTTAGTAAGCTCACGAAGAAAATGAACCTGACATCTATATGCTTGCTTCGACCATGTAATACAGGATTTTTCGAAAGCTCAATTGCTGAGCTGTTATCACAAAAGTCCGTTGTACCACCACTTTGAGCATGATTAAAACCCTTCAAAATCCTCCTTACACAGACTGCTTGACAAGCACATGAAGCTGCTGCAACGAATTCAGCTTCAAGGGTAAACAATGTGACTATTGGTTGTTTCTTCGATGACCAAGAAACGGCTCTTGAACTCAACAAAAAAACATAACCTGAAGTACTCTTTCTGTCATCTGAATCTCCAGTGTAGTCACTGTCTGTATAGGCAACCAGCTTCTCATCTCCTCCCTTTCTATAAAATATCCCAAGATCAGAAGTTCCTTTCAGATATCTCAACACTCTCTTGGCTGCCTGAAGATGAAGCTTTGTGGGATGGTCCATATACCTACTTAGAAGACTCACTACAAACATAATGTCAGGTCGAATAGCAGTCAGATACATTAGACTGCCAACTACTTGCTTGTAGCGACTACTGTTCACTCTTACTCCATTCTCATCTCTCATGAGTTTGCAACCTGGAACAATTGGATTACGAACTGAATTGCATTTATCCATATCAAACCCTTTCAACACCTCTTGTGCAT